GACGGAAGCAGATGACACGAGGCGAGAAAGGAGGCAACAACAACAAGAAGAGGCGAGGAATGACGACGACGATGACAATGACGATGACGATGATGATAAAGAAGGTGATAATGATGACGATGAAGAGGAGGAAGGGGAAGAAGAAGAAGAAGAAGAAGGAGCAGGAGAAGAGGAAGAGGAAGAGGAAGAGGAGGAGGAGGAAGATGGAGATGGAGATGGAGATGGAGATGGCGACGACTATAGCGTCGTGAGTGAGCAGGAAGATGGAGAAGAAGAGGAGGGAGAGAATGGGAGAGAGGGAGAAGGAGAGAGGAATGGGGAATCGGAGATGGACGAGGCTGAAGAGGAGGACGGCGAAATGAAAGCGATGAGCAAGACGAGTGAGGAGGAGGCGATACGAGGTGGAGACAGGCGAAGGAATGAGGTGGCGCAGAGGGAGAGGGGGAGCCGACGGCCTGACATGCGGGAGTCGAGCTCAGCAGCCAGAGGCGTCAGATCATGCGAGGGCGGCGGCAGCGGAAGAAGGAGGAGGGGGAGGGGGAAGGGCAGGAACAGGAGAAGCGGGAGGGGGAAAAAGAAGAGGTTGCGAGAAGGGGTGGAGAAGAAATGTCGACGTCGAGGGAGGCAGGGCGACGGCCTCGAGGTGGCAGGTGAGTCTGGTTGTTTGGATCCCGTTGCTCGGCTGGGGATGGGCTACAGACTCAGGCAGGGGCGGGCAGTTCGAGGCCCGCATGCGTCGGGCGGCAATCGTGGCGCCACGACGCGAAGGCAACTGGACTCGCCGGTTGTAGGATTCTATCTTGGACTCAAGTCGCAAAAGCAGCTGTAGTCTGTCGTGAATTCCGTGGGTAAAATCAGATGGGGATAAAGAAGAAAAAGAAAAAAAAGAAGGCGTTGGAGACAACCAAAAATACAAAAGGGTTAAGAAAATGAATAAGGCAAAGATTAAGGAGACGCTGTAGAAGACGAAGAAGATGAAAAGAATAAGTAAGAGGAAAATGATAGAAAAGAGCAAGAATAACAAGAAGATCGAACAGATAAAGAAGACAGAAATTGAGAAGAAGCGGAAGAAAAAGAAGACGCTGTAGAAGATGAAGAATATGAAGAAGATGAAAAGAATAAGTAAGATGAAAATCATAGAAAAGAGCAATAATAACAAGAATATCAAACAGATGAAGAAGACAGAGATAAAGAAGAAGCGGAAGAAAAAGAAGACGCAGTAGAAGACGAAGAAGATGAAGAAGATGAAAAGAATAAGTAAGATGAAAATGATAGAAAAGAGCAAGAATAACAAGAAGATCGAACAGATAAGGAAGACAGAGATAAAGAAAAAGCGGAAGAAAAAGAAGACGCTGTAGAAGACGAAGAATATGAAGAAGATGAAAAGAATAATTGAGATGAAAATGATAAAGAAGAGCAAGAATAGCAAGAAGATCAAACAGATGAAGAAGACAGAGATTAAGAAAAAGCGGAAGAAAAAGAAGACGCTGTAGTAGATGAAGAATATGAAGAAGATTAAGAGAATAAGTGAGATGAAAATGATAAAAGAAAGCAAGACTAGCAAGAAGATCAAACAGATGTAGAAGACAGAGATTAGGAAGAAGAGGAAGAAAAAGAAGGCGCTGTTGAAGACCACGAACATGAAGTAGATGAAGAGAATAAGTAAGATGAAAATGATAAAGAAGAGCAAGAATATCAAAATCAAAAATATCAAGAAAATAAAGATTAAACGCAAGAAGATAACGCAGACACTGATGAATACCAAGAATCTCAGCTAGACCAAGCAGATGATGAAGTTAATGAAGGTGTTAAAGAAGATCACAAGACATAACAACAGAGCAGACTAAAAAGAACAAGAATTACAAGAAGTGTAAAGAGAAGACGTCAGATAGGATGAAGGAGTAGACGGTGAAGACTCGGGAAAATGTGTCAAAGCGGAATAAAAATAATGAGAGGAAAAAGGAAATCAACACAGAGGGGAATTACAAGAGGCACTCAAACCTGGCGCCCATTAGAAGCAGCTCAAGCGGCTTGCACGGTCTTTCAAAGTTCACACGACAAGATCTGTCACGCCACATGTTTGCACCAGCCTGCGTCGGGGGTTCGCATTTGCCTGTCCTGACCTGACCTGTGGACAAATGAGGCGACTATCTTTGTTTACCCTATTTTGGTGGTTTTATGTGAGTGGTATTCACCCGATTTCGTTCAAGCTGACAAGAAGAATTAGTCGTTGAATATTCTGAAAATCATTCAGATTAACCTTACATTTCCATTCAATTTCACATGGCCTTGCTTTCCTTAATTGTATTCTCATCCAGGCTGGACTGCAGTTTCGACAATGGGACTAAAATTATGTCAGGGCTGCGTGTAATATCGACAAATTAATCACTGCACCATAGTTCAACGAGTGCTGTTGGGTCGGAGGACAGGTGTGAATGTCAAGGAAGGCCAGTCGTTTTCCCATTTCACATTCTGTGGTGGGATTGCCAATGAAGCCAGCTTGTATTTGCTATTACAAGTACTTATATTTCATTTATAAGATGTATTCACCCAATTTCGTTTAAGGTGACGAAGGACTGGCAGAAGTAGAATATTCCCACAAATGATATGAGTTGAGCTGACGTTTCCATTAAATTTTTTCATAGCTTTGCTTTCCCAAAAGTTGTTCTCATCCAGGCTGAATTGGACTGCAGTTTCGACCTCACATTGGTCTTATCAACACCCTCAGCGGGAGTCGAACCTTAAACGAAATTGGGTGAATACATC